AATGAGGTGCTGCAACACTTTGATGCGGGCGAGTGTCCTGCTGGAATATTTTGTGACCTCAGCAGGGCATTCGACTGCATCAATCATGATGTGTTGCTCTATAAGTTGCAGGATTATGGCATAAGAGGACAACCGTTGCAATGGGTGTCTGATTTTGTAAAACATCGTCAACAGTATGTATCTATTGATAATGTAAATTCAAAGTGTGTTAATAGCATAAATTCTAACAAATTACTTGTGGAAATGGGGGTGCCACAGGGATCAGTTCTTGGCCCTACACTTTTTATTTTGTAAGTTAATTCAGCGGAGTCAGTTTTAAATGATACGTTTTTCACCATGTATGCGGATGACTTGGCTTTGTTGTTTTCAAATAAAAATATTAATGAACTGAATGCAAACATAAATAGAACCCTGGAACTGTTATGTAGATGGTTTTGTGATCATAATTTATATTTTAATGTTGACAAAACCCAGATAGTAAGGTTTTGTACTGCACAAAGAAGTTGCGATGATCTGACACTTTCTGTAAATAATTGTGACATGAGCAACTGTAAGACGAGTGCTAAATTTTTGGGTATATATCTTGATGAGAAACTTAATTGGACAACTCATTGTAATATGCTTGTTTCAACTATGTCATCTAATTGTTTTATGTTTAGGAATATGAGTGGGATCTTAGAAAGGCAACATTTAATTAATTTATATTATGCCCAAATTGATAGTCGATTGCGGTATGGTATTTGTTTTTGGGGTGACTCAACCACGGCGAAGTCTGTTTTTATTTTGCAAAAACGCATATTGCGTATTATTGTTGGACTCGGAAACTTGCAGTCATGTAGACCTGCCTTCAGGGAACATAAAATTCTAACTGTGGCATCGTTATTTATATTTGAAATGTCGATGTACATTTTTAAAAATGTAAATAAATTTTGTTTGAATATGGATGTTCACAATATTAATACCCGACAAAATAATGAAATACGTATACCTTTCACAAAATTATCAATTGTAGGTAAAGGGCCAAATTACTTAGGACCCAAAATATTTAATCATTTGCCATTCGAAATAAAAGAGTGTAAAAAAATTGGGCAGTTCAAACGAAAGCTAAGATTATATTTGTCAGTTAAATGTTTTTATTCTATGTCCGAATATTTTTGCTAGGTTAGTTTTTTTTTCTTTTATGTTTGTAAATGTGTTGTTTTTTTTCCTTTTGTTCTTTCTTTAGTGTCTAGGCGTTCTATCTCCATGTTTTGACTAATGCTATATATTATTCTGTGATATCTTATAAGCATAATAAACTTTGACAGATGGTAGCTGGATTAATTTCAAACATTTTTTCTTATCTAAACATAGGTCCGATTCGTTTTTGTTTAGAAATTACAAGCATTTTAAAAAATATAATTTCATATTTCAATTAAAGTACTCTGGTGGTTGCTATAACAATAATTATTATCTGTGTCTAAAGTTTAAACATGAAATAACCTTTATTAACCAAATTAACAAATCTTGAGACTATAAAAATTGTGTGTTCATTTCAGATTCAATGGTTCTGGCGTGCTTTACGTTCATTTGATCAGGCCGATCGTGCCAAATTTTTGCAGTTTGTGACGGGAACTTCTAAAGTACCTCTACAAGGTTTTGGTGCACTTGAAGGTATGAATGGAGTTCAAAAGTTCCAAATTCACAGAGATGATCGTTCAACTGATCGTCTGCCTTCTGCACATACGTGGTAAGTTTTTATCACAAAACCATCAGATATTTGTAATAAGTACTTAGTTAAGTATATTAGTTATTGTATGACTTTAATGGAGAATAGGAATAATAGAAAGGAAAATCTAGTTAATTAATATGCAAAACTTACTGACTCGACATATTTTTTTCCCTACAGTTTCAACCAACTGGACCTTCCTGTATATGAAACTTACGACAAGTTACGAGCCTACTTATTGAAGGCAATTCACGAGTGCTCCGAAGGTTTCGGCTTTGCTTAAAATAATCCTTTAATGTTTAAGACTGATGTGTTAATTTTTTGTTTATATCAATAGTTAGTAGTTCTCTTGTATATAAAAATATACTCTAAATGTTAAGTGTACAGACTACGACACTGTAAAAAAAATTTATTTTAATTTTTTATAAGCTGCAAACTTTAAGTTAACTGTGGGTTAGTGCTTGAGTTACTTATGAAGTTTTTGTAAATTAACTAATAGGAAGGCACATGTATTTTTGTAAAGGGCCTTAAGGCAATTCGAGTGTGATAATTTGAATTTGATAGTCAGATTCAAAATATATTTACTATTAATAATTTTATTTATAAGTATTGTTATTGTATTAAAAATAGGTCATTAATCACTCTTTTCTTTTGTACATCTGTTACACCATATAAACTATATATANATATATATATATATTTAATTCAGGCAATATTTAAACTTTTAGTCACAATGTAATGAAAATTTGTAATTATTTAAATAAATGTTTTTCTCAATTCTTTAGTTTTTTAATTACTTGTTTCCTGTATAATTTTCTCGTCATTATACTACAATGAAACAAAAAACCAGCAGTTTGCATACTGCAACGCCAAAAGAGCATCAAAAATTAACTCTGTACTAAATTGGTATTTTGGTACAACAGACTAGACAAAATATATCATTAGACAGTTTGTAACGCCTCTTATACACGGACTAAATTTTAAATACGTCTACACATAAAAACATTGCCGGCAAGTCTGATGGTCGGCTACCGATCGGTAAAACAACGCCAGTGTGTAAGAGGCGTAACAAATTCAAATCTTAAATTTTGTCTAATATGTGTATATCAATCTAAAAAAAGTCTCCTAAACTATAGAGAGCTCAGTGAGTCGCAAAGCATTTTTGAGGTTTACCACTTTTATAAAAATTAACCATCTCGTCATATTCAATACTATCAAAATGCTATGGTATCCTCCTCAAATCTAGTATAAAATATTTTGATAATTTTGATGAACTACAAATAATTTATAATTTATCCATCGATTTCTCAAAAAAGCTTTCACCCGAAATCTAAAATTAAAAAACTTCCCTATACTATACAGAATCAGTCAAATTAGTTCTACTCTACCTATAAACAGCCTTTGGGACATATTTTCCATGAACAATGTTATTCGGATGGACAATGTAATTTTTCGACAATTTTTATAAAAATTTAATTATTTAGAATTATTTAGAAAATATTTACAATGGTACTGAGACAAAAACTATGTATCCCTTGTGGTGCAAACTCCCCCCTCCCCAAATACTTACAATATTTGATGGACACTTTAACTTTTTGATAATTTTCATGAACAGAATCGTGGGGTTACATTAGTTTTATTCTCTCTATCTTTTTAAGATTTTCAGATATTTTTCATTACTACAAGTATTAACTTGAACCAATCCTAGCCATCCCAGAGCATTCATCAGGTATATTATGAGAGAAATTCGTTTTAGTTTTGGATTTGCCAGTACCGTTTAGTCTGCAGAAATTTTTTCAGATTATTCCGGGCTCCTAAAATTTTTTAGCCGAAAAAATCGATGGACCGTTAATTTTTTGACTATAATTTTCGTGAAAATTCTCAAAAAATTAGAATGCCGCCTAAAGACGGCACCCCGTATGTAGTTAGGGCCGCAGAATACGCGGCTGTAGTCCACTATTTTTGTAAGTTGCTCTCCTAAGGGAAAAAAAAGAGTATCTCGAAAATTACGCGAGCGAGGGAGAAATTCGTTTTAGTTTTGGATTTGTCAGTACCGTTATAGTCTGGAGGAATTTTTTCATATTTTTCCGGGCCCCTAAAATTTTTTGGCCGAAGAAATCTATGGACCGTGCGTCGATTTTCTCATAAAATTTTAATCCTCTGAAAATTCTGAAAAAATTCAAGTGGACAATGACGACCCTGACTAATCCAAAACTGCCGTCAGTTCCTCTCTAGCTCCGCCAGTTTTCGAGATTTTTTATATTTTTCCTTCCGGTTCCAAAGCTTTTGTTAGGTAGGCAACATACAATACATATGTGTGTATACTTGGCTGCATAAACCTCCTTTAGATACGCAATTTTTTTTTGACGATAATATTCATGAATATTCTTAAAAATTTAGAATGTCGTCTAAATACGGCACCCCGGATGTAGTTTGTTGTATGCGCCGCAGAAAACGTCGATGTAGTTCGCTATTTTTGTAAGTTGCTTTCCTGATGAAAAAAATTGAATATCTCCAAAATTACGCGAGCTAGAGAGAAATTCGTTTTAGTTTTGGATTTGTCAGTACCGTTATAGTATGGAGGAATTTTTTCATATTTTTCCGGGCCCCTAAAATTTTTTGGCCGAAAAAATCCATGGACTAGTCCGTCGATTTTCTCAAAAATTTTTAGGCCTTTGAAAATTCTGAAAAAATTCAGGTGGACAATAACGGTCCTGACTAATCCAAAACTGCCGTCAGTTCCTCTCTAGCTCCTCCAGTTTTCGAGATTTTTTATATTTTTCCTTCCGGTTCTAAAACTTATGGTATGTAGGCAACATACAATACAAACCTGTATACTTGGCTGCATAACAATTCCTGAAACTGCCTTTAGCCACGCATTTTAATTTTTTGACGATAATTTTCTAGAAAATTCTCAAAAAATTAGAATGCCGTCTAAAGACAGCACCCCGTATGTAGTTAAGGCCGCAGAATACGCCGCTGTGGTCCGCTATTTTTGTAAGTTGCTCTCCTAAGGGAAAAAAAAACATTATCTCGAAAATTACGCGAGCTAGAGAGAAATTCGTTTTAGTTTTGGATTTGTCAGTACCGTTATAGTCTGGAGGAATTTTTTCATATTTTTCCGGGCCCCTAAAATTTTTTGGCCGAAAAAATCTATGGACCGTCCGTCGATTTTCTCATAAAATTTTAATCCTCTGAAAATTCTGAAAAAATTCAAGTGGACAATGACGACCCTGACTAATCCAAAACTGCCGTCAGTTCCTCTCTAGCTCCGCCAGTTTTCGAGATTTTTTATATTTCCTTCCGGTTCCAAAGCTTTTGTTAGGTAGGCAACATACAATACATACGTGTGTATACTTGGCTGCATACACCTCCTTTAAAAACGCTTTTTTTTCTGACGATAATTTTCATGAATATTCTCAAATATTTAGAATGTCGTCTAAATACGGCACCTCGGCACCCCGTATGTAGTTTGTTGTATGCGCCGCAGAAAACGCCGATGTAGTTCGCTATTTTTGTAAGTTGCTTTCCCGATGAAAAAAATTGAATATCTCAAAAATTACGCGAGCTAGAGAGAAATTCGTTTTAGTTTTGGATTTGTCAGTACCGTTATAGTCCGGAGCAATTTTTTCAGATTTTTCCGGGCCCCTAAAATATTTTGGCCGAAAAAATCGATGGCCGTCGATTTTCTCAAAAATTTTTAGGCCTCTGAAAATTCTGAAAAAATTCAGGTGGACAATAACGGTCCTGACTAATCCAAAACTGCCGTCAGTTCCTCTCTAGCTCCTCCAGTTTTCGAGATTTTTTATATTTTTCCTTCCGGTTCCAAAGCTTTTGTTAGGTAGGCAACATACAATACATATGTGTGTATACTTGGCTGCATAAACCTCCTTTAGATACGCAATTTTTTTTTGACGATAATATTCATGAATATTCTTAAAAATTTAGAATGTCGTCTAAATACGGCACCCCGGATGTAGTTTGTTGTATGCGCCGCAGAAAACGTCGATGTAGTTCGCTATTTTTGTAAGTTGCTTTCCTGATGAAAAAAATTGAATATCTCCAAAATTACGCGAGCTAGAGAGAAATTCGTTTTAGTTTTGGATTTGTCAGTACCGTTATAGTATGGAGGAATTTTTTCATATTTTTCCGGGCCCCTAAAATTTTTTGGCCGAAAAAATCCATGGACTAGTCCGTCGATTTTCTCAAAAATTTTTAGGCCTTTGAAAATTCTGAAAAAATTCAGGTGGACAATAACGGTCCTGACTAATCCAAAACTGCCGTCAGTTCCTCTCTAGCTCCTCCAGTTTTCGAGATTTTTTATATTTTTCCTTCCGGTTCTAAAACTTATGGTATGTAGGCAACATACAATACAAACCTGTATACTTGGCTGCATAACAATTCCTGAAACTGCCTTTAGCCACGCATTTTAATTTTTTGACGATAATTTTCTAGAAAATTCTCAAAAAATTAGAATGCCGTCTAAAGACAGCACCCCGTATGTAGTTAAGGCCGCAGAATACGCCGCTGTGGTCCGCTATTTTTGTAAGTTGCTCTCCTAAGGGAAAAAAAAACATTATCTCGAAAATTACGCGAGTTAGAGAGAAATTCGTTTTAGTTTTGGATTTGTCAGTACCGTTATAGTCTGGAGGAATTTTTTCATATTTTTCCGGGCCCCTAAAATTTTTTGGCCGAAAAAATCCATGGACTAGTCCGTCGATTTTCTCAAAAATTTTTAGGCCTTTGAAAATTCTGAAAAAATTCAGGTGGACAATAACGGTCCTGACTAATCCAAAACTGCCGTCAGTTCCTCTCTAGCTCCTCCAGTTTTCGAGATTTTTTATATTTTTCCTTCCGGTTCTAAAACTTATGGTATGTAGGCAACATACAATACAAACCTGTATACTTGGCTGCATAACAATTCCTGAAACTGCCTTTAGCCACGCATTTTAATTTTTTGACGATAATTTTCTAGAAAATTCTCAAAAAATTAGAATGCCGTCTAAAGACAGCACCCCGTATGTAGTTAAGGCCGCAGAATACGCCGCTGTGGTCCGCTATTTTTGTAAGTTGCTCTCCTAAGGGAAAAAAAAACATTATCTCGAAAATTACGCGAGTTAGAGAGAAATTCGTTTTAGTTTTGGATTTGTCAGTACCGTTATAGTCTGGAGGAATTTTTTCATATTTTTCCGGGCCCCTAAAATTTTTTGGCCGAAAAAATCTATGGACCGTCCGTCGATTTTCTCAAAAATTTTTAGGCCTCTGAAAATTCTGAAAAAAATCAGGTGGACAATGACGACCCTGACTAATCCAAAACTGCCGTCAGTTCCTCTCTAGCTCCGCCAGTTTTCGAGATTTTTTATTTTTTGATTTTTCCTTCCGGTTCCAAAGCTTTTGTTAGGTAGGCAACATACAATACCTACGTGTGTATACTTGGCTGCATAAACCTCCTTTAGATATGCAATTTTTTTTTGACGATAATATTCATGAATATTCTTAAAAATTTAGAATGTCATCTAAATACGGCACCCCGGATATAGTTTGTTGTATGCGCCGCAGAAAACGTCGATGTAGTTCGCTATTTTTGTAAGTTGCTTTCCTGATGAAAAAAATTGAATATCTCCAAAATTACGCGAGCTAGAGAGAAATTCGTTTTAGTTTTGGATTTGTTAGGAATGAATAAAAACACAATTAAATAAACTACCAACCAACGCTTCCAAATAATACTAGAAAATAATTTGGAATCCACCAATTTTACGTGCATTTTGTGTGTATAGCATTCATTTCTGTTTTTTACAATTTTTTTTTTTTTTATACGAAAGTGATAACAAATCGCCAACAACCAATGTAACGCAAGAAATACTAAATTTATACCATTGGCGTACTTAACTCGAATGACTGACATTTTTACCGTTACTAATTGTTTGTACATAAGTTTCAATTTTAAAATCAAAATTCTTAATAAGTATTGGGCGGAATTATAAAATTTAAAGTCTGTTGTAAAGAGAATTGTAAGAGCTTTCAAAAAAAATATTACTCATACCCAATGCCATTTCAATATTTTGGGGTGATGCTTACCCTAGCTTGGGGGGTGAAAGTGGTGGGCAGAGTCAAAAATGCCAGCAAAGAATGTCCACCTTTAATCTAAAATCGACGGGTCTGAGCGTTTTTCTACAATCTTGACGCAGTTCCTGAAAATGGCTCCGTTTCGTTTTCATTTGGCCACCCTGTATAATGTAGGAGTATCCCTCTTCCCCCTTCCAAACTCTACATAGTGTAAAAGAAACGCCATGTAATTGACTTAGGTTTTATTTGGCAAAAAGTTGCTTTGTAGAAAATTATTAGTACAATTTTAACATATAGGTACATGTTTCTTATCTCTTTTTCTTTTGTTGGTAAGTTCTAACAGAGGTTGGACTGCAAACAGAAAATCTTAAATACGTTTAGAATACATTATGGCCCCTTCAAAATATTATGAAATATAAAAATATTTTGATTCAATGACTCTCAAACTTGAGCTGCAAGGAAATATGCTTATTTCAAAATATAATATGTTATGGTAACAAGCGATGGTTAACAGTTGTCATAATTAAAATAATCATACTGAAAATGCTTTTTATCCAAAATAAAAAATAGATTAGGTTTTGATTGAACTTTCTTGTGGATTTTAATTTGTACATTTATTTCAAGTACTCTAAAGCAGCAGATTGATAAAAGATCACAGATTTCTTAAGTTACATAGGAAATAAATACTAAAGATTAAAATTCTTAATATTCTATTTTACCACCTATCAGTAGTTTGCTGCTCAACGATTTATTAGAAAATATATTATTTGGCAAATAACAGGTTACAATAAAAGGACATCATTAGTATTTTAATAGTTTAACCGAAAGGGAATAAAGAATTGGATTTTTTTTTTAATTAATGAAATGCCTTTTCATAAAAAATTCAGTGATTTTAATAGTTTACGTATAAAACTTAAAAGTATGTAATAAATAACACGGTATAAAAACACAGTAAACATTAATTGCAGCTAAAGACAAAATAACACTTTATATAAAAACTGGAATGTTTTCCACAGATAAAAATAACGTAGTTTGGATAATAACACGTAAATTTCGTACAAGTAATTAAAGCTTAAATTGTAACAAAAATTTTAACTCTAAGTATACTACAACTACTCTAAAAATGATGAATCGAAGAACTATTAGGTATGTTTAATTAAACCTTTGGCTAATTGCCTTTAAACTAAACTAAATTGTTCCTACATTTTTAAATCCAGCAAATGCATCTGAAAAAAAGTCTTAACTACAAATTGAAATAGATTGGATTAAATGTGAATGGAACAAACAGTATAGTAAATTAATTTGAAAGGTATTGCGCCTTAATGGCTCCCATTTTTCTAAATATGATCATTTTTTGACTTGGTTACAGTATATGATTTAGTATAGTAGTATGCACCTACTATAAATAGCTACCTTCATGTATTATGGAATATGTATACGTGTCATTTTTAAAAGTTGAGTATGACCTAAGTAGGGCCAATAATTTTTCAGCACCTACTGGTTAAAGCTTGATTATTTTTTCCATCGTTAATTTAAAATAACACCATCTATTTACAAGTGTATTTTATAAAATTTGTGTAAAACAACATATCTAATATAACAAAAGTACACATTAAGTAATCAATTTAAAATAAAATCGACATTTTATTACGAAAATATTGTTTCACTGGTTCATAAACCTGGTACTTTAGGGCTACCATTTCAGGTATATTTCTAAAAGTATTGAATAATTCATAATCTGTTTCTAATAAGATTATTGTTGCCATAAGTACAAATACTGTTACAAGTACAACAGTAGGTATGAAAGCACCTATCACATTAAATTTTTTACACTTTTTAGTGTTATTTTGTATATCATGTGTTACATTTGGCAGGCAAATTCGCCCATCTACCTGAGAATGAGACAATGGCGTTTGGCTGCGACTTGAACGATGAGATGGATTCGTAGTATCGTATCCGCGGTAACTGTTGTCAATTAATTGAGATTCGGATGATGAATGTTCAAAAGAATCACGGAAATAGTATTCACTAAAACGCTCCATGGAATCATCTTTTAACACTGAAAGTAAATTCATTAGTTCACAAATAGATTTCAGATAATTTTTAAATAAACATTAAAAGAAATTAATATACTTATACCTGTGGTACGAAGTTTCGTACCACCTATTGCTTCTTGATCTTCGGATACGGTTTCTAAGGCAGCGACATCACTGTAAGCTTGGGAAGGATTACCATCTAAACCAGACAGTAACCCTGTACTACTACTAGATTCCATATGCGATACGCCCACATCTGAATGACTAGATCTGGGTAAACTACTATAACCTACAAGGAACAATCGACAATTAATTAAACTTGAATTACAATATTTTGATATAAATCAAAATATTTGTGCCGCTATAGGCTAGTGGCGCAAATGATGGCGAACCTTTTGAAAAATCCTAACTTATATATATATTCATAACTTTTAGATATTTGCAACCATAGTAAATTTATATACAGATTGTTTCAGTTCGAGTGAATCAAACTTTAATCACAAATAGAACTCAATAAATAATTCAGAATTGCCTTATAAAGGAAGGGTCTAAGTCTCACCGTTTTCACTGTACAGGGCCGTATTGGTTGGTTTTTAAAATCGTATTATTTATGAAATCTTTGCCATGCTCATAACGAATTGATTCAAACTTGGTGTGGTAACATTTACATAAGTGCATATTTTATGACTAATGACCTAATCATCATTTAGGATTAATTTTTAGATTCCGTGGACAATTCTACATAAAAAAGGTAAACATGTTGAAAATCGGTATAGTGTATCGTTTTACCGAAAATCTCAGTTGAATGGGAGACCGTTCTTCTGATAAGAAATTTAGTTTCTTAAGGATAGGAAATAAATTTTAAATTAATATTATTATAGTGTCACGTATCATCATAATCATATAAAAATTCAAGTGATCAGTGATTCGAGTGTATTTCATAGTAATAGTGAATGTGAAAATAACTAATTTGTGGATAATTGCAAAATATTTATTATACCTGGGAACAAATTGATGTAAAGAAGAGAGAAAAAAACCTGAAAAACCTATGATAGCTTTAATTGAACCATATAAAAAACACTCATAAATAAATTAGAAGACGGGTCAGGACTCTGGCCTACTGAAGATTTAATGTAGGCCCTAACAGAATTTTAAAATGTCATTTATTTGTATAAGATGTGCTAAAGGCTCAGAGGCAAAGCCTATTGTGTGTGACATTTGCTCACGGCATTATTGCAAATTGTGCTTGGATATTTCCAGCTCAGAAGAAAAATACATTTTTCTGCAGAAAAGAAAAATGCTGTTCTATTGTCCCGACTGTTTGCCCAAAACTATTAAATATGATACTGTTATTAGTGAAAATAATATACTAATACAGGAAAGGAAGCAATTCTTGGCACAAATTAATCATCTACAAGAAAAAAGTTCTACGAGAGATTTGGAACAAACCAATGCAAATTTGGTGACCAAGATTGAGAATGTAGTTACAAAGAGCAAACTTATAACTGAATTAAAAAGTATGATATCTGAATTAGTAAAAGAATTGGTCTTGAAGGAGTTTACTAACCTAAAGGCGGATATGGCTGCAATGTTAAGACCTGACAAGGATAATAATGGTAGTAATTACCTTAATACCATGTTGGGATGATGTTGCAAAGTTGCAAAGGAACGTCTCAGCTATTTTTGAGTTTTGTAAGGATAACGACCTAGCTTTAAATGAGGCAAAATGTAAACTGGTATCATACACACGGAAGAAATACCCTATAATGGGAATACATATGGTGAATAGTGTTGAGATAGAGCCTCTGAATAAAATCAAGGACCTAGTTGTAATTTCTAGCAAAAATTTTACATATTATAAGTTTAACAGCTGAATGTTACAGGAAGCTCGGTTTTGTTTTTAGGACTAGCCAAGAATTTAAATCTTAACATAGTAATAAGGCTATTCGATACATTTGTAAGATCAAAATTGGAGTATTGTAGTGTGATTTGGAACCCACAAGGTGCCAGTATCAAGGACAGGATAGAGAAAATACAGAATAAGCTTTTAAGGTCAATATATGTTAAAGAGTATGGAGTGTACCCGTTTATGGTATCATATGAACATCAACGAACAGAGTTTGGTGTGACCTCTTTGGACAGGAGAAGGGAAAATGCCCAGATTTTGTTCGCATATAATATTTTGCATAGCCAGATTGTTGTTCCCGATCTGTTGACATTTATTAATATTAACGTACCCGATACCAGAATGCGAAATAGATATAGAGTTTTTCAAATATTTAATATTAATTCACCCCTAGAACAGTGTGTCTGTGTACGATGAATAATTTGTTAAGAACTTACGATATTGATATTTTTAATATTAGCCGGACTAAGCTACTCTCATACTTATGATACATATACGATTGGGCATTTTATGTAAATTTTAATTGTCACTTTTCTTGTTTTCTTTCTTCTCTCTTTACATTGATTGTATTTTGCATGTGTCTGGTTATTTGTACATTATTTTTTCCTGGTTTTATATTAGCTTACATTTCTCAACTTTATACATGTAATTGGACTGTCTCTTTGTCTGTATGTATGCAGTATAAATAAATAAATAAATAAATAAATACCTTACAATTCAAAAGAATATTAAATAATGTCTCTACATCGGCAAAATGACTAGTAAATTTTAAATAAAATCCCTTTTGTGTATTATTTATTGCATTCGTAATGTGATGAATTCCTTCTGCGAGCCAATTTTTTTGTTGCGCTGCAGTGCGGTGGACAGCATGTTCAATGGCGCCTTCTCTAAAATGTCATCTGAGGCATTTTGAAGCAATTATAGGTATCATTGCTCATTCAACGGTCTGTTTGTTTCAAACAGCTATAATTCCTTTAAAAAATTACACCTACATATTAATTTTAAATCTCCATTGCAGTATCCATACACAATGATTGCCATGAATAAACAACTAAGCAATAGTAGACTTATCTGTCATCAGGAACTGTCATTTTATTCTTAAGATTTGAAATATTCGTTAGTGTTTGTAAAAAAATGAATGAATATTCAAGATTTTCTTCAACTGAGATTTTCGGTAAAACGATACCCTATACCGATTTTCAACAAGTATACCTTTTTTATGTAACATTGTACATGGAATCTAAAATAAATATAGTACAGAAAACATAAAATTTAAAAATTGGGTTTATTAAAACGACAGTTTGTGAATAAATAAGTATATTAAAATACCTACTGAAATTAATTACGTTTATTTAATTAAATTATAATATATTTTACTAAAATTTTTAATATCAGGTTTGTCATTAATACTACTTTTATTTTTTTTAATATGAATCATTTCTTGAATTAGTCTTTTGTTGTAATTTGGTTCTTTGACTAAAATTTTAGTTTGATTAAAATTAAATGAATGTTTTTTATCTTTTATATGTTTTTATGTTTTCTGTACTGTTTTATTTTTGGTCCCCAATAAATCTAGGCCATTTTGTCACTCGAGTAAAAATAAAATGTTATGAGTAAACATTAATCTCTTTATAGTGCAACACTAATGTACATGTTTATTACAGGTTTTAAAATTGCATTATTGATCATGACTAACCTGAGTAATAATTTTACTCGAGTGATGCCCAACTCTGCCCGTTGAGAGAAACAAATGCGTGCCACCCAAAATGAATTCACGTGTTACCTCTGACACGCGCGTCATAGGTTCGCCATCACTGCACTAGACTATTTGAAATTAAAATTACAATTCCTATACGAATTTAATAAATATTGAATAAAAAAAAATACCTAAATGTGGTTGTAGTGGAGTAGAAGGAGTTGCAGGTACACTAGAAGCTTTTCGCCTAATACTCGAAGATCGTTGAATATTCGGTTCATCTCGGGTGGGAGAACCTGTATCTTCTAAAATTTCTCGTTCTGTTCGACCAGTGTACTTGAACTTTGTTCCCCATGAGAAAAAACCACCTCCTGTTACCACCGAGGGTGCATCTGAACTAGTTGGCAAACTGATGTAATAACATTTTTACTTAAAAAATCATGCAACTATATACAATTGTGCTGTAAGCAAATTAGATGTTGCTTACCAATAAATACTATTAGATTTTTTGTTTCCATACTTCAAATATATTCAAAAACATGACTCAATAACTGAATGTGACAGAAACTCTTACTTCTACAGATTTATAATGGTAAGGAACATTCTAAAAAAACTTGTCTATTATATGGTTTAGTATAAATAAACATTGATGCAGTGCAACAACTGTTTTAAATTGTAATAATACGCATTTGAAAACTTACGTGAAAAACAACATTTGTTCAATGGCGCAACGCCATACATGTCTACAGGCAGCTCCAGATGGGCATTTAAAACCAACCGTATGCTTCTTCTGAAATAGGTAAATATTCTTTGAAGGGAATACATACCGATAATAAATATATATACAATATACAATTAAATTTATTCGTTTATGGACAAAAACAAGATCTAAAATAGGAAAATAAAAAAACCACTACTATAAACAATAGATAAATACTAAAAATTTAATTCAAATAAATCATGGAATGTGATGGATAAAAATTTTTTTAATAACTCACATCATTATAATTAAGATGTATAATAAACATTTTTCCTTCATAATTAATTTTTTGAATGTCTGGCCACCTAAAATGGTGTGTTTTTCGACTCCCTTGAAATGTTAAGATACCACTATAATTAATTCCTAAATAAAGTTGAGTGCCTTTATGATCCTGGAACAAGCTCTATTTTAAAACGTTTTTAAATACACCTGAAAATAAGTGATATTACTTTCACAGGGTGAGGATCGACTCCATATGTATCCAGTTGGCAAGTTAACTTTAAAAATGTATTTTCTACTTGACTTTGACTTTGACCTTTAAGCTGTTTATGATGAATTTCCATTGCCTTCTCTTCTATTGCTTCTGTTTGTTTCAAAAGAATTTTAAAATCAGTCACATAATTTCCTATATGAATTTCAGGATTATAATCTCCAAGTTCCCCTAAGATATATACAAATTCATGTAATATTTCAAATATAGGTATTTATAAATAAAATATAGGACTTGGCAGTTTTGAAATACACATTTATTGTTATTATGTCAATGTTTGATACCTTGTAAAATAAGTGCAGCCAACATAGCAACCTCATTTGAGCCACAGTACAAACGACCATGCAATAAATCTCTTTTTAATTGTAGAAATATTTGGTAGCGAGTTATTTCTTCTTTAAGTCGAAATGGATCTGGTGGATAGAATTTCACACGAAAACTAAATAAAACCGGGTCAAGATCTTTTACTTGTTTGCAAATTGATTTCCCTAAGTCCAACCAGTGCTAAAATAATAAGAAATTTGCTTATTGAAATATTAATTGAAACATTTGCTTACTCTCTGATCTTGGGAATCCACATATCGTAAACCTAAATAATCCTGTTCTACTAGATTCAATTGCCGACATACATATTCCAATAAATATTTTCCTTTATGACAGAGCTAAAAACGTATTTTTTTAAGAGAAATTAATAATAATATAGTATGTTGGGGATACCTTATATTCACATTCCAGTATTTCTGTGTCTTCAAGAAGTCTCACAGTGCACTTATATACAATATTGCTATCATGTTTTGAACCAAACTTTAACATTTTTCACCATTAACATAGGTGAAGGATGTTATAAAATATTTCCAAAAGATGAACACACAATTTAGCGATAAACATAGAAAATAAATAACACACAACTAATACGACAGTTTTGTTTTGACATTGACATTTCTGACACACATTTTTGATGTGGTATAAACACAGCTTAATAATGTACAGCTCGAAGAGTCCGTGTCGGCGCCTTTGATGTGGCGGTCGAGAACCAAGCGAGACGGAATCGTGCTAACTCTTTCAGATTAAGCGGAATAGTCGGGGCTGGATTAAAAGAATTTTTATTATTGAAATAAAATATTTAGGTAATTATTTACTTTAGTGGCACCACCTCCAACTTTCACGAAATTTTGTCTACCCCCCTATTTTTGATGGTGCTGAACACGAATCTGCAGGTTTTTTTGTGCGGTCGAACCTAGTTTTCGAGAAAAAAAATTTTCAAAATTCTAACCTGGATATTTCATATAACACTACGTAGGTAGAACTCTGTATATTTTATGTAGCTTTCAAGAACATCTGTTATGAACAATTAACACTGTTCACGAAACACATTTTCGTAAATTTCAAGTAAAAAGATATGTATTTAATAAATAAAAATTTTGCAGTTTGAATCCGCCATTTGTAATTCGTGATGACAACATTGCGTTCCCCCACTCTCATTCAAATCTGTTCATCCCACATAAAGTTACTATAATTTTATTTATTAAATACATATTATTTTTTAGTTCAAATTTGGGAAAATATGTTTCTTATACAATGTTCATTGTTTATTACATATGTTCTGAAAGCTACATAAAATATACAGAGTTCTACGTAGTGTTATCTGAAATATTCAGGTTAGAATTTTGAAAAATTTTTTTCTCAAAAACTGGGTTCGACCGCACAAAAAAAACTTCAGATTCGTGTTCAGCACCATCGAAAATACGAAAATAGGGGGCTAGACAAAATTTTGTGAAAATTGGAGGTGGTGCCACTAAAGTAAATAATTACCGAAGTTTAAATTCTTACTTGGACATAAAAAAATGTTGCTTGCAATTAGTGAACATGTCAGTAATACTCAACATAATGCAAGTGAAGACTGTATTCGATAACAAACAATTGGGATCGGGAAGACAGCCGTTAATTCGAAAACAAAAAATGCAGGTTCACAAAGTCGGATTCTAAATTTATCAGAACATAATAAAGTGGTGTCTAAATTAATCACT